TTTGCATTGAAATAAATCGTAGAGATAACGCAGTAATAACTTGCATCGCGATCTATCGAAACTGTCTGATAGATCGCGATGTAGAATTTATCGCGATAAACAATGACGATATCGCGATATGTACCATGATCAACGCCCCTATAGCGATATATCGGCGATTTCTCGGTTTAAAAATCCTCAAGGGTGGACTATCCAGTCATTGGTAGCTGGAGTTAATAAGCGCTCTCAGAACCCTTTTCTACTCCGCACAGAACAGTTTTGTCTTTTATTCTGTTTCGTTTCCAAAGCAGCACTCCAATTTTTTCATTGTCTGAACTATTTCCTTTATATCTGCATCATGATATGGCAGATATCGATTAAGAAGATCCATTAGCACAAAACCGACTTTTATACGGGGAACAGAATCGGTCCAAATTTTTTTTCTGAAGAGGTTATTATGTGAATCGACGGGCAGCAAAGTATCTGTTGATTCAAATCACTATTCATATTTTGGCGCGAACATTAGTGGCGCCACTTACGCCACTTACTGCTATTCGCGCCAAAATGTGAAAAGTGACTTGAATCAACAGATACTTTGCTGCCCGTCGATTTACATAATAAGCTCTTCAGAAAAAAAAATTGGACTGATTCTGTTCCCCGTATAAAAAGTCGATTTTGCGCTAATGAATGCGCTTGGATAGCCTAGCCGGTAAATGCTTCGTAAGTACATATATAAATTCTATATATGATATCTATTCGATACGAAGTGGTCGAGTTTGATTCTCGTAGGCACAGATTATTCTTTTACTTTTTTGTATCTAGCTGCAGCGCTCTAAACTTGATGCAGAAACTGTGAAAAAAAATCGATTCAAAAGGAGATGCACTATTAATGCATCGCGCTAAATATCGTCTCTTTTATCGTTTCAATATTCCTATATTGGTAGGCGATGCATCGCCTCCTGCAACTAGTGCATCGCTTTTACTCGATGCATCTAGATAACTAGATTTTTTTTACTCATTTATCTAGATGCTCCTGCTGGAGCATCGCTAGATGCACCAGCGAATGCATCTAGATATTTTTGCTGAGCAGATTTTGCTTGGGAATGAGATGTTCTGCAACTCTGAGCCACTCTTAATAGCCGAGTCATAAAAGTTTATCCGGATGCACAAACGTCAGTTCTAGAACTGATGCATATCTATTCAAGAGGGAAGACATCCCGTTGTATAGTTTATGAAAATAAGCCAGACGAAAATATTTTCTTCAAGTGGAGGGCGGTGCTAAATTTAGCCGAGTGAGAAGTTGTGAGGAACGACTATCATAATCTCAAAGGATTAATCTACAGGCCAAGTTTTGTACTTTATCTAACACAGAGATGAAAAATGTAAGACGTATCATATAGAATGCTGCAGTACTCCAAAGTTGGACGTATGAGAGTTTTATTAAGATGAAGACGAAGAGAATTAGGAGAATAGCGGAACACACGGGATATAGAACCAAGCATTTTTCGACAATTTGAGGCCACATTATCAATACGACATTTCCGCGATAGATCATACGTAACGCCAAGAAGTTTAAGAAAAAAAGCACGCTGAATTATATGATCATTCAGCTTTAAAGACATTGTGAGACATACGTTAGATACAGTAGAAAACAACAACCATTCACATTTTGAACTGTTTAAAGTGACAAAATTCGTTTCACACCAAGCCAGAACGTCGTCTATGCACGCCTGTGCCTTGCCTGGATCGGCTAGGCAAAGAAGATCATCTGCGAAGAGCGAGAATAGAGAATCGAAAACTAGACTTTGAGGTAAGTCATTAATAAAGATTAAAACGGGGCCAAGAATACTCCCTTGAGGCACTCCAGAAATAACAGGGACTGAAGTAGAATGAACAGATCCCACTGTTACTATCTGGGTACGTTCAGACAGATATGACTTGAACCAGCCAAGTAGAGGACCAGAAATAGTTTTATAAACAAAAGAAATAGTTTTTTCACTTTCTGGAGTGCATATATACATATAAAATCAGTCTGTCAGGGTGTCTGTAGACGCATTTTCGCTTCCGTTCAGGTAAACAACAGTGTGTTGGGGGCGTCGATGAAGATTATTGTGAAAAATTATTACATAACGAATGTGATTCAGAATCTGAATATCGTTGTAAGTCAGGTCATTGCATTGACGAAGCTTATTTTCTTGACGGTGATGTTGATTGCCAATGAAGCAGACAAAAATGATGTCCAGACATTGGGCGCTACAACTGAACAGCTTATCACAAACGGAAAATGCTAGTCGAATTTTTAGCAGGAGAATCATAACATGGTTGATAAAGAGTTAATTTTTGACATCCTTTATATATAACTTGCAAAATCAAACTGATGAACAAATAAATAATGATCTACACAATATAGCCAGATGTCCTTACACAACTAATTTTAATTGTGATGAATTTATTGTTTTTTCAAAAATGTATTTTTCATGCGCTGACGGTAATATTTTGTATGATAGATCTTTATTTCAACGTGACTATGTTCTTGAGGCATATTGCCGAAACTATCATGATAAATATTTTATGTGTGAATTAGACAGTTATAATCCAGTGTGGACTCGGCCAAATGGCATGTGTCTGTATTATGGTTTGACTGGTGAACGAGACGAGAATTATTGTCTCTTTTTACATCAATGTGCATTAACTGATGGCGCACATCCCGAATGTCCGTGTTCAGGAAATGATTGCAAACGGTATATGAGATATCAGTGGCTGTGCGATCTATAATTGTAACAGAATATCCAAATGGACGAATATTGGCACCGTTTATTCGTACATTTTACGAATATCTAACACATGATTTTGAAAAACAAAAATTACCAGATCATTACATCTTTTCTCATAGTTTTAAATACCTTGGAATGGAATTGAATTCAGATATGAAATATGGCGCATCACTTGATGAAATTTTTTTTGCTACTCGAGGAACGTATCGGTCTTTTGAATGGCTTTACGGTACACAAGTGCTGAATATTCTGGCCGATATGGGTTTAGATAAATCACATTTACCGCCGTTCTGTTGGAATAACATATACCCGAATACAACAGAAGTTTGCGATCGTCTGCGTGTTTACAGTTGCATTTAAACATATAATACACACGATGGTGCACCAGATTGCTATCTAGGTAAGAGAGGCGGTTTAGAGTTTTTTAATCGACATCGAGCACGAGATATAAGATTTGACCAAAGAACGAATGCTATGTGTTGTACGATGATGGCTACTGCCAAAAACTGTTTGGAAGGCGATCTTGATTCAGTTTTCAGAAGAAGGAAATGTTTGAATTTTCGGCAGGCGTGAGAGGATGATGACGTTACACAGTGGATATTTTTCTATAGACTAGGCGGACATGTGGCTTTTTAATTCAAAAAGGTTTTTTAATTTAGAAAATGGAAAAGTTATACGTTATTCGATGTGGTTTTATGCGCTGATTTCAAATATAAAATTATTTTTCAATAACAGCGTTTCTGAGATGTGAAAAATGGATTTTATCTCAAAACCCAAGGGTTTTTCGAAAAATCCTTATCTAAGCTCAAACTAAAAACCGCATGCACCATAGAAAAAATGAGTTTTTCTAATGTAAAAAGCATACTTTCGCCTTTTTGCCAAATGTTCGCATGCTTGCCCACTGTGCGTTACACTGAAGTTGCTCCATCTCTGAACGAATTTGTATTTATGCGGGAAATAGACAGGTATTACTTTATCTTTAGCTCAAACATACCGAACTGGGTATATGAGCGGGGATGCCGATTCTAAACTGAGACGCGTTCGCGTCAGCCGAATGTGAACTGAAGCGAACCCTATCCCAAATCCCGGCGCTTAACCCGAACGGGTCCAAAGTTTTTTCATGACTTAGAAGTCTGAAGGTGGGTTTCGATTTTCTGACGAAGTCAGTACTTTAAAAAGGCCAAAACCCTACATTTCTACGGATACTTACTTCTTTTTAGCAATTCAAGATCGGCTCTTTCGGGTCAACTTCTACTAATCGGCTGGTCCAGCTAACGGTCCCCTTTTTTCGCTCATTTTCAATAATTATTGCAATAAAGCTACAAACTAATGTAAAATTGCAACTAGATAATTAAGTAGATTAAACATTTCTCTATAAAATGAAAAGTGTCTCGGCTCTGGACGTTGATTCTCTATTAAAATACAGCTATTGTAAAAACAGCCCAAAAAATCGATCTGAAGGTTTTTTTGGGGTTTTCTGGTTTTTCTTTGACTAATGCAGATTAATTAGAATAGTTTCAGACTTAGAAAGCTATCACATAGTATTGAGCAAACAATTTTCTACAAACTGGTATACTTGTTCAAATTTTACCTGCTCATCTTCACTCTTTTAGACACGTTTCTCAGATAACCTCCAGATCGACTTTTTGGACTGTTTGTACAATAGCTGTATTTTAATAGAGAATCAACGTCCAGAGCCGAGACACTTTTCATTTTGTCGAGAAACATTTAATGTACTTAATTATCTTGTTGGAATTTTATATTAGTTTGTGGCTTTATTGCGATAATTTTTGAAAATGAGCGGAAAAAGCGGACCGTTAGCTGGACAAGCCGTAATCTTATCTGTCCTGACAAGTCTACCCAGATGTTGGCGGATGGTAACCATAATTCTTTTTTATTACTAGCTGAAGATGAAAGTTCTCTTATGCAAGCTGAATGTGCAAATGTAAGAAAACATCGTTTTTCTTGTTCTCCCTACGATGAACCGAAATGTTTATTTGCTTATAATGTTGGCAATTCAGTCAACAACTGTGACAAGAGTAATCGGGATGAATATTCTCTGAAACATAATCTCTTGTTATCTAATGTTAAATGTTTGCAGAAACGTCCAAGGGATTGCCAGTTATTAAGAAACTACATCGCAGAATCATCACTGGTAACGTCAAACAATGTAACTACAAATCAAATCACAAACAACAGCACTAGCATTACTGCACAATCAATATTATTTCGACAGTATTGTGATGTTAATTGGGATTTGAGCTTTGGATCTGATGAACTACCAGAATATTGTACCGATTGGAGATGTTCAACTAACTATTATCAATGTGTAAGGTCAAAACAATGTATTCCGATAGAATGGGTCTGTAACGGTGTATGGGATTGTAATGACGGTAAGTCGATATTGTAACGGATAGGGTAAGACTACGTTAGGTTTCGCTATTTTAATTTGTTTTAAAGGAAGTGACGAAGAAGCTATTCAACTTCAAACAGTATTATCGGATCACAACTCGAAAGTGATAATGAATTTAATGCAAATGAAAAGTCTCTGTCGTGAAAAGAATGTTAATCGACCATTCGACATGTTATGCAATTATACCCACAAATATCCATGCCTATTGGTTGATGTTGACGAATCATTTAATTTTACATCGAATCGACCTTGTATTCATTTGAGTCAAATCGGAGACGGTCGCGTCGATTGTTATGGTAGCCTTGATGAACGAAATTTAATTGCTTGTTCATCACATAAAATGTTAGGATTTAACTTCAAATGTGAACACGGCCGTGAACTTGTAGATAAATACTGTATACCGCAAGTGCACCATTGTGAATGGCGTTGTTTAAATAATGAAGACAAATACTTATGTTTTTATTTATTAAATAATTTGAGAATTCCATGTAATAAAACACGGCCAGTGGCAGCGGATATGTTATTCAGAGATGTGTATTGTTTAAACAAAACATGTATAGAAAATGCTAGGTGTAACGGAATACCTCAATGTGAATATGGTGAAGATGAATATTATTGTGAAACAGAAATACTTAAAATGATCGGCAGATATCGTTATCATGCTCAGATCGAAATTTATACACCTAGTATATCATTAACCGATTATCCACAGGACGAAAAAGAAAGCAACGAGAGCAATGAAAACATTTCTCTACCGGAAAAGCAAAACTTTTCTTCCACCACTGATCAATTGTCCTTGAGTAAGCTGGGGTTCCTACTAACGTGTTAAGATCTTACGCAGAAGCTCACAAAGGAATTAGATTGCTTTCAATGGCCGGCAGCTTAAGCCTGTCTTTGATACTGAATCGACTTTACCTCCTCTTTTAGTTAGCATCCGAAGTCTGCCGCAACTCGCTATTGATTTTGTCGGAATACAAGAAGCAGCAAGACACTTTTCGCGCCAAGGCTGGCTGTGCAATCGTGGTGTTGCTATAGGAATGAAAGATACACTTAGCGGCGATAAATCAATAGCATGTTTTTGTCCTCCATCAACATATGGGCACTACTGTGAGTATTTCAGTGATCGTGTAACTGTGATAACAAATCTAGAAGATCGAACGTCAACATTGATGAATAAACAGACGATTACGATTAAAATCATAGCTGTATTTCTTGTCAATGAAACAATAATTGATCAACATCAGTTTCATTACACACCAGCGTTGAATGATTTTGATCGAAAACACAAGTTCTATTTCGTTTATCCACGACCGCGATACTTATCAAATCAAGCCTGTCATAAAATTCGTTTTGAAGCATTTCTTTTACAGATAGATTCGTCTATTGAATTTCTTGCCGTCTGGGAATACCCAATAAAATTTGATTTTTTGCCAACCTATCGCCTTGCACAACGCCTGATCTATCACAACAAGAACCAAACTTGTACAATGATAAACCCGTGCTTGAACGACGGAAAATGCCATCTGTTACTAATTCATATTTTTGTTTATGTAACAATAATTCATACGGAAAAAACTGTCAACATCTAGATCAGTCATGTTTGAATGTGTAGGTACATTCCTTTCCTTAGTATCACACGTTACTAACGATTCTTTCGATCTCTTTAGTGATCTTTGTTCGAAATCAGCAATGTGTCGTCCATCTTACCGAGGTCTATTTTACGATGATAAGCCACTCTGTCAATGCTCCATGAACCGTTATGGCCCAGGTTGCTTTATTCCACGGCAATGTGATATGTTTAATGGTCGAAATCTTTGTTTAAACGGCGGCACATGTTACATCCAATTTGAACCGGATAATACAGTTGAAGATTATATATGTTTATGTCGTCCATCATATTTCGGTAATCATTGTCAGCATAATTCTGGGAAGCTAGAATTAAGATATATAAAATCGATGTCTAGGGAAAAACAACCAGTTATAGCTTCTGTACTCCAGTTATACGATATAAGTGACAAAACATGGAATTTAATAATGAAAAAACAAAATGTTTATACAAATGAGTTAACATCACATACAGAATTTATTCGTGATCAACTCTCACTTCCGATTTTGGGACTATTGAAATTACATTTTTCACCACAAATCTCTCCACCAGCTTATTATCTTTTATATGTTAAAACAAATCATACATATTTGAACTTATCTATGATTTTAAACGAAAAAAATCATTGTCGACATACACATACAATATTTAATTTAGACAAGACACAGAATTCGACGACAACAGGTAAAATGTATTAAAAGTATTTTATTGTTTTATACTAGAGGAGTATAGTCTAATGGATCGTACTTAAACTGACCGACTTTTGGACGCATAACACATTCTTGAAATCCAGGAGCTAATTTGCGCTTTGACAGATGTCATTCGAATCAAACATGTTTGAAATCTCAATCAAGTACAGCTGTATCGTCATTAAGTAGGAGCCACATTATAGGCCTGGGTGAACGAGAAAGCTATCGAATCGGTTGTTCAATTGTCTTCGTGCATTTTAGGAAATAAAATATTCAATGCATCAATAATCGTTTTCAAATATCATACTCTTTGCAACATTGTTAACGAAGCATCGCTGGACGTTCTCTGTTTTCGTGATGACAATTATATGTGTCTCTGTGATCTATATCATAAAGCTGAATGCTTCGGCTATAATCGTTCAATTGATCAGTGTGATCATTGTCTCATGAACAGTTAATGTATAAAAGGTGATTTAGCAGATCGAGCAGATTTCCTGTGTGTTTGTCCTCGATGCTACTACGGTTCTGTTTGTCAACATAATACAAAAGTGTTGAGTTTTACGCTTGAATCACTAATAACAGATGATCTATTTTCAACATCATCCATTGTACAGAAAGCGTCTTTCGTATTATACATTGTAGTGCCAGTGCTGTTATTACTTATTGGTTTCTGTAGTAATCTCTGTTGTTTTCTAACATTCCAATGTCCGAAACCACGTTTAGTTGGCAGTGGTTATTATCTGTTTGTCCACAGTTTAACAAGTCAGTTGTCATTGATGTTTTTATTGCTGAAAGTCATACATGTTCTTTTGGGCACGAAAGGAATGATTTGGAATTCTTTATGGAATACGATTTGGTGTAAATTAGTTAGTTTTATACTATCAGCATTTACGAGAATCAGTTATTGGCTCACGGGACTCGTCACAATTGAACGCCTGTATGTTATACTCTATCCAAAAGGTCTGTGGTTGAAAAAGCCGGCTATTGCTAAACATATTATTCTTATAATTGTCGTTCTTACACTTGGTTCACATGTGCATGAACTGGTTGAGTATTATATTGTACAAGATCCAAAATATAGCGAGCATGGTGAGTATAACCGTTTGTTCATGTTAAGAATATATGGGAGCCAATACATGTACGATGACATCGCATATAAAGTGTCGGATGCGTCAAAAGAGCGCGTAGAATGAAGTTGAAAATGGATATATACTTTTTGACATCCACAGATGAGAATATGTCGGACTTTATACAGACTAGGACCACATAAACCAGTGTTTCCACCTTAGAAATGCTCTCCTTTTTGTAGGTACGTGGTGTGTTACACAATTTTCTACTGTTTTATCAATCTACAATCAAGTCAATATATTCATTCACTATTCGATTCCAGTTTTAATTAATTTTATTTCAACATTCATTTCAATTATTTTGATTGCTCGCAAACGTGCAAATGCTACTCGAAACAAGACTCAGATAAGAGTGTTTCGTGAACAATTACAAAAACAAAAAGAACTATTCATACCATCGTTACTCATACTCTTGTGTTCATTACCACAATTTATAATATCATTTTCATTGGCTTGTACAGAATTAAATGTCAATTGGCAACGTTATTCATTAACTGTAGCTTATTTCTTATCGTATGCACCACAAGTTAGCTCTTATTTTCTCTATATTCAACCGTCGACTATGTATAAAGAACAGTTTTTACAAACATACGTTGGAAAAAAACTAAGAAAATGAAAATTATATCCTAACCGATACACGCTTTCCAGGAAAAGAGAAACTATTCTTTTCTGCTCCTTGTGTATTTTGTCTTTTTGCTTGATTAAAAATAAATATGGTGGCTTTTGATGCACAGCACATTCAGATCGAAATAGTGAAGTTACTAGAGTGACAGCGATTGCCTGGAGAAAATAATGCAACTTCTACCGGTGTGATCTTGTTAACCATATTCCCCTTTCGAAGAACATGATTATTAGTGCAGTTGTTTTGAATTTCATCATATCCTTTATTTTCCCTGGATATTTCGACCTTAACCGGTCATTTCAATATAAAACTACTGTACAAAAAAAATGAAAACTATTTTCATTTTTAATATAGTGATTCATATACATGTGGATAGGAGAGAATATATTTATCATTGAAAAATTAGAATTGTACCTTTCTTTTTTATATGCGCATATAAAAAAACAAATACTTATTGAACACAAAGGCTTATCGACAGAGTCAACGACAGTTATTACAAGAAGAAATTAATACGAAATATCCCACGCAAATGGAAAAAGTCATTCGACAGGTGAGGTGAGTAGTCGAAAATGGGCTCTCGCCGATGGGTCGAGTCCTCGGCGAGAGCCCATCGAGAACATACTTTCAGGTACTCGAAATACCCCTCGAACAAGTGGTTGGGATAAGAATTTATATCGAACGAAGAAACAGTATCAATATGCTTCTGATTTATGATTTATTTATGATTTATTGAGGGAATATCTGTCAGAACCCGTAAAAGCTATACCGGTAATTAGGCGCTTGGTGATCAAATTACTCCGTGAAACGTGAAACGCAGAATAAGAAGCTTATCGCATATGAACAAAAAGCAAAGTTGAAGATAGTTTTATCGGATAGAAAAGTAGTAACCAATCTTTCTATTCATATGCTTACTGATGATGAAATAGATTGTTTAGCCAATGGTTTAAAATATGGGTTATTACCAAAAAAGGTAGACGAAATTAATATTATAAGCAACGGAGAACAGTTTTTTCACAAAGTTACTGACATTTATCAGCATCACAAAGGATTACCCACAGACTTATGAGAGAACAATAAGTTAGAATTCTTAGTACAAAAGAAATGAATTTAGTCAGTAGGTGTCGTTCTTTGACTGACTAGTTCAAATATCAAGAACGCAACAAACGAGAAGAAGTGAAAAAGAACACAAATCATGAATAGTACTATCACGTGCTCAAAAGTTTACCTTCAGATAAATCAATTACAACTCTTAGGCCTGACGAAGGAAGAGGCATTCTAGTTTTGGATAAATTTCAATATTTGCGTAAAATGTACGAAATTCTAGATGGTAAAACAAAATTTACACAATTGTTCGATAAAATAGCTTAATATCGATATTAAATATATGTTGATGATGAATATTATGATAATTAATTTTTACATGACCAAGTAAATAACGTCGTATAAAATATGATTGTATATAATTAAAATCAAAATTTAATTGTCCATCATGAGAATGAAATAATGATGCCATCGATATTTGTTGACAGGCAGGTAGGTAGGCAATCCCCAGGCAGATCTAAACATTACAGGCCTGACGCAGGCAGACCAGGCCTCAAAAGTGTCAGCCTACTTCGAGTCCTGATACAAATATCATTATCGATATTAAGCTGTATTAATGAATACTCCTTGAACATTCTGGATAATACAATCTCAATACTTGTATAATTTTTTGTGAACTCGCTCACATCGAGGAAGGATATGGACATATTCGTTATGCTATCAACTGAACGCAAATGTCCATATCCTTCCTCGATGTTAGTTGTTTTACATAAACCAACCCTTCATGAGTTCTGAAGAAAAGTAAAAAGAACAGAAGCCTGCGGCTTGTCCACCTAACGGTCTCATTTTTTCGCGCTTTTTCAAAGAAAAACCGTGACTCCGTGACAAAAAACGGTCAATGTCAAGGCGTCACGGTTTTTCTGGTTTTTCTTTGATTAATACAGATTAATTAGAATAGTTTCGAACTTGACAAGCTATCACATCTTGTAGAGCAAACAATTTTCTACAAACTGGTATACTTGTTCAATTTTTGCCAGCTCGTCTTCACGCTTTTAGACACGCTTTTTCACGGGTAATCAATCTTTAGAATCAAACAAACACTCAATTCTCCCTTGCGTATCACTAGTGCTTTTATAGCCAGTCTCTTTCTAGAAAAGTAGGTGTGTTGTAGATACGCCGCCTCCTCTTTTATTTTTTTCGATTTTCTCAGTACAGAAGCACTTATGTTGAAAACGAAGGGGATATTTAAAGTCGAAGCATAGAGTCACAATTCTGGCTGAAGATTTTAATATTTGCTACAGAAGCAGTTCGAAAGCTATAAACGCTAGAACATTATAAAGTTTATAGTTTTATAATGCTTGTGTGTGGGTTTTCTAGAGACCTGGTCTTTGGAAAACTCAGCTGGAAGTCTCTTTGAACTTTGTAAAACATACCATTGAAGAGAGCATATCTGAAAACTTATAAAAAGTGTTTATAGTTTTTCGGACTGCTTCTGTAGCAAATGTCTGCCTGGCCTATGCAAAAAGACAAATTTTTTATGTGGCAAAAAGAAACACAAGAAACAATTTGCGCCGACAAGATGATAATCTCCAATCATTACATGTCTTTTATTTCAAAATTTTCAAACTCGGATGCAGTTTCTCTTTAAAATTTCAGAATTTTGGGAGTATTTTAAAAAGTCCGTAATATTTTTCATGGCTACAGCGTTTGGTTCTTTACAATATTTTCCTGGGTAGTTATCATAAGCGCAAGAAACTGTTGTATAATGTATTAGATCCAAAGCTTATCATAGTGCAGTTGATTTGCTGACCTATTTCTGATTAAATGATGCCCTAAACAGAGCAATAACTAGAGAAATCTACAACTATACACAACTTCTATGCTGCTAAACACCAGTGTTTTTTTTTCTTATAGACTCTTACTATCTTTTATATTATTTTATAATGTTTTTACAATTGTAGGTGTATATGAGAAAAGCGAGGGTACATAAAGACATATGCTCCGATAGAAAATTTTCGGCGGCTGCGAATGAAATTTTTACCATAGGCGGCGCGAGGCTATGAAAATTTCCTGCGCTTTCGGCGGCGGCGTGTAAAAATTGGTTATCGGCGGTGAATATCATAATTTAAGTAAAACAACGTTCTCTTTCATTTGTGGCACGTTCTTCGCGCACTAACTGTATCTGTACGTTGCCGTATACGAAAAGATAGAAACGCGCTGCTCTCTAGATACCTCAGGTAAGAGCGTACTAACAGGGCTTGTCCAAGCGTGACGCTGTGACATTTTTGACACAGTAATTTGAGCTTTTCTCAAATAGTGTAAGAGCTAGAAATTTCGTTCTTGCGCCATTCGACGCAGCTCGCCATACTCTACTTTTGGTATAAAAATGAAGGTATGTGGTTAAAGATTCGAATTTTTAGAACCGTTTTTCGGCGCGTGTAGCTGTGACAAAAAAAGGCCCTAAATTCGAAGTGCTTCTCATCAAAAGCTATTTTGCTGCGAATTTAGAAGAACTAATAAAAAGCGCCTTGAGCAAAGTTTGTAGAGGAGTATATAAATCTCCGGCTTTTGTTTATGCCCTTTCTCTTTGCCATCGAGAATAAATAAATAAATAAATAACCGTATGGTTTGCTCCATTTTGACACAGAACATAGCTTTTAGGATTTTAACAAATGTGTGTGGTTTCTGATTGCGGTCGTATGCACTGGTCTTTAGAACGTCTTGAATTCAATTTTATTAGAAACTAAAAACATATCGTATTTCTTTGAAAGGCAACATCGCTAAAATGTGTACTTCTTTTATAGACATTTGAAGAAATAAAAGATTTCGATTTATTCTCGTCTTTTTCTAACTTGAATGGTGTAAAATTGCCAAGTTGCCAAAATTTATGCAAGTTATTAGTTGTGTAATAATCTGTAAATTGTTATTTGATTCTGTCCGTATGATGGTACAAATATTTCTGGGTTGCCATCGTTGTCAATATCATCGCCACTTAATTGACCCACAGTAGATTCCACCTGATGAAATTTCGTCAAGGTATAATTCCAATCTGCTACATCTTGACTTTGAGGTACTAAGAGATATGCACAACCATCATCGTCTCCGGATAATGCAATAACGGGTTTATGTTGATCATACATATCTACGACGAGTGCACTACCGGGAGCACCACGTCCTTTTGATTCACTTAATGGTTTAAAATTCGTTGCTAAGGTGTGTTTCACAATTTCACCTGTGCGAAAATCATCGATAGGTAATTCATATACAACAAGTGAACCATTCTTAATATCGTTACAAGGCACCAGCAATTCTACTCGTGAATCTCCATTTAAATCCGCTAGTGTTATATCGAAAAATCCTTCGTCTGTGTCAATATCACGTTTAGAGATCTTTGTCGTATCATTCCAACCACCCTTTTCGTCCTCACTCCAGTACATCTGCAGTTTGCGATTAAAATAACTATGTGTGAATAAAACGTTGTATGATCTTGATTCCACAGTTAATCTTGTAAATGCAACATGCGTGTCGGGACCATCAGCTATATGATTTATGGTCCAATCTTTGTCACTCGAATTTTGCCCAGGATTTTTCAACCAAATGAGTTCACCAACAGGTTGACCAACAAGCGGAACATTAGCACGAGCAGTAACGATATCAACATAACCATCTAAATCCATGTCGTTGAAGACGGCATCATGATAAAACCACAATTTCTGTTCATCGGGTACAAGTGGAATTGGCTGTTGACCTGTGAATGGAGGAGGGATGTGATATAAATTTCCTTTTGTTTTACTTGGCACAAGAAATCCATCGGGTACGATGATCGAATATGGAAATCCAAAAATACTTTCATCTGCTGCAATAATTCCATTCGGCCATATAATATCGCTCGTGATGACTTCAGGTTGTATGGGCGTCGTTAGACTATATTGAATATTAGGAACGTAGTAAAC